CATTCAATTAATGTTATTATTAAATATAATAAATGTAGTAAAAATATCTATACATATTTTATAATTCAGTCATTTTTTTTTTTTATAATAATGATATTATTTGATCAAATTGTTTCTTAAAAGTTTATTGACTATTAAAATTCTGATACATGCACGAATTAATTAATGTCAGAATAAAATGTTCCAGAGAATAAAACTTGTCTTAATTTAAATCACATATCCATTATATAATATCATTCTGTAATAAAAATTTATGTGCCGGTTTTTTCCAACATGACTTCACTACGCAAAAATAACGCCCGTCACGACTGCGGGTCGATATAGTCAGCGAAATAAAAATACGAGCAATTTTCAAAATTACCAATAACACTTTCGTGCAAAAAGTTCATGCACCGTTGACATACATACTTTGTGGCTGACGTATCTGCCTGTATCAATCTAATCCCTGATAGTATGATTAGTTCCATCAATACTCTTGCGCGTAGCATTACGCTTTTTGCAGAACAGACATCAGTGACATTTTATTGACTACATAAACCTTTGTTTAGAGCATGCAATAAAGCTTTTATTCAATTGTGTAATAATATATAATTATCCAGTAGTTATAATTATAATATGCGCATTCCTTCTTTAAAATATCATATTAATTTCATGTATATTACATGCATAAAATATGAAATACTAAATTATGAAACAACAATATTTGCTTAGTGATAATAATATGGAATATGTATCATAGTCAATTATATACAATGTGTCAATTATATAGTTATATACAACAATATAAATAATAACAGAAAAATACCAGAAAAAGTATATTTCTTGTATGTCGATCAACATTTGTGTTTTCATGATCTGCGATAGGATCTGCACGTATCGCACATGGCTTTTTAAGTACGCTTCGAAAGTTTTATAGTATTTGTATTCCTAGAACGTTTTCTTCACATTACCTGTTCCTTTATAATTCGTATACCTTTTACCTTTAGTCGAACTAGTCGTTTTGTGAGAGTTCGCGATACTTCCTGTAATATCGTATTCCCGAATCAAGATAGTTTCGGATCTTGTTGTTCGTGAGTATTTCGGAGAAGTATAAATAAATTATGGAAAAAAAAATACAGAAGACTAAAAATTGATAAATATAATAAAATGATTCTTCAAATAATAAGATGAATATTTAATATTATTGAAGTGATTACTATTGCTAAAAATTATTTTTACATTATAATTTGGAGCTAATTTTTTGCTTTAGATAATTAAATTTGTTTTCTCTGAAAAAGAGAAATCTAGAAACCTGATAGTGTCAAAGATCCTCCATCTTCGTGATATTGGATTGACAAGTATGCGAAGACGCGAGTAAATCTTTAAGCCCATCACAATGTCTCTAAGAGTACCGTAGATTTCGTACCTTGATTCGGCACTCCTTGCACGCCTTGCCACAGTTTCTGTCCGTGACACACAGTCCCGACGTCCTGAGGATAAGAAGAAAGGGTGAGAAGAGAGAGAGACAGAGACAGACAGAGAGAGAGAGAGAGAAATAATGAGGAAGAAGAGGGAGAGAGAAAGGGAGAGGTTTCCTTCACACATACACTCATACACATATAAATGTGTGAGCGTGCGTACACCCTCCTGGACGAATGTTTGTGTGTCAATGTGCTTTCTCGTGGAAAGAGAGGGAGAGTATATGTGCATCGGTGTAAATCCTTATGTGTGTGCGTGTGCATCCGCGGACCCTCTGCGCGCCTCCATCGTCACAGGGGGTGGATCGGAAACGCGCATGCTCCCACGGCCGAGAATCTCCCCAGTCAGGGTAAATCTGCCACCGAAACAAGACGTGCGTGCGTGCCGTTATGCTATATACAATGTTGCGTACGCGAACGATCGCCGTGACGATTTCTTAAAATAGCTCCGCGTGTAACAGCTCGCGAGGCCAAACTATCGACATGGAAAGCCGCGACAGTTGGAGTTCCGAGTTGTTTATCGAAACGTAAAGTCGTAGCGCAAAGAGAGAGAGAAAGAGGCGGAATTGTGAGAGGCTGAGAAACAAAAGTAAAAAGAAACTTAAGAGGCCGCAAAAACGGAGAAACATTTTTCAATCAATGAATTATTAAAAAGTGATTTAATATAAAAAAAGGACAGTTGATCAATGGATGCGGTTATGCGGTGAACGGAAAATCTTTCTGCGACCAAACCGCTGGTTGCACGATTTCGAACAATTTCGAACGGAACGACGGAGCGAGAGTGAAGAAGAGATTGCGTTCGGGAGTAATTTTCGAGCCGACTGATAAGTCTCCGCGCGATCGATCGATTGCTCCGAACGAGATCCGACGCGGTACGCAGCGTCGATCGTCGGGATTTCGTAACTTCGATCGAAAAGTATCTCGAAATAGCTCTGATTATGTGGACTCTTACGAGTCCACGGCGATTTTTGATTCTCAGGATTCTCCGCGCGACGATGAGAACCTCGCCCGTTCGCGCGATGGAAACTGGGACCATCCTGTGAAGAACCTGTTCGATGATCGCGAAGAGGAAATTTTGTCCAAATCCTCGTAAGTGTAACGCGTAGTTTCTCGAAGCAACTGCAACGAAAGTTTACGTGTTTTTTCGCGAATCCGAGAAGATTCAAACTGTATCGAGTCGCGCGAAGGAACGCGACTGGGCGAGGACTTTATCCGACGATATATGTGAAAAGTTCCGCAGGATACGTGGCACGCCGTCGAGAGTTTTGCCATAATCATTTTCGCGCGCGTTATCGTCTACATAGTCACTATTATAGGAGATACCACTTTGTGCGGAAGATTGACGTATGCACGCGCGACGGAGCGGGCTATATCTTATGGCAGATTCGACAAAACCGCCAGCTCTCGCGATAATTTATTCCTCTTTTTAGTCGAGCGGTTTGCGGAAAAAGAATTGATATCTTTAACTAATCGCGAGTAAGTCGTGTCGGCTTTTTATTTCGTTTTGGAAACGTTCGGATGCGATTGTGAGCTGTGTGTGTTAATTAACGTGCAAGAGTCGGAAAGAGACGAGTGATAAGACGCCGTCTGGTGTACCATGTCAGTGAGTGGATGGTGATAGTAGCAATCACGGGAAGAGAATGTGAATCATTTTAGTATTCAAGTGTAAGCGTCTCCCGAATAGTCGCGGAAATGGCTCTGAGATGGCAAGCGAGGCTCTCGATTGCTGCCATACTCTTCATGTGCACAGAAGGTAATTACTCTGCTACTTTCTAATCATCTTGCATGATCTCGCCTACTTGCTTGAGACAAGAAAAGAAGATGACCCGTGGCGTGTGTTCGCGACATTAGATGACCGTAGGGAAATCGTGAAGAAATACCTCGGATCACGAAGAAGAAACTAATATCTTGGAATTATTATTATTACATCGTGTTTGTGCGCAACTACAATCTCAGATCGTTAATGTTTATTAATGATTAAAAACGTTATCATACTAAAACTCGATTAAAATTGTTTCCTTCAACAGCTGCAACAGAAAAAATTATAAACATGCTAAAGCAATATATATAAAACAACAGTTATTGTAAATGATTGAAATTAATGTCGGATATATTATCTCTTCCTTCATATTTGAATATAAACAAGTGGAAAAAAATTACTATTGACCTTCTGTGGTATAAAAACGATAAATTTACAGTTCTATTTTGTAAAATATTGTTTTTAAAAAGATATATTAATATTAACAAAAAAAAAAATACGATGGAAAAGTGATGATGATAAAAGAAGAATAAAAAAAATTGGTTTTTTTAGTATAAAAGATACGTATAATACATATGTATATACATATATGAAACAGCGAAGCGGTATTTCACAACGTAGATAAAATCTCATTTACTATCGTCCACGAAAATTAAGATTCAGTTTAATTACGTTAATTGCAACGCGACATTTGCTATTCGGAAAGGAAGAGAGATTTACGACTGCCGTTCTAGTCAAAAAGCAAGAGAGAGAAAGGGAGAAAGAGGGATAGGGGAAAGAAATGTAGAGATTTATAGCTCATGTTTGCGCTTCGTAAACGCAGAGGAAGTCGATTGTTTGCTGTTTGCCTGTGATACCCGTACAATTCCTTTACTATGTACGGTCAATTTAAATTGAAAATGGAAGATGATTTATAATTTAAATTTTGTCGATAGTAGATGAGCATCTAAAAATGAGAAGAGTTACGACATAAGAGAGAAATATAATACGTAAATTCTTGTAAAATAACAGATCCTTTTCGTGGAACAATTATTTATGCATATGTTTAAAACTTAATTATAAAACTTGTAATTATTGATCAGTTTGATATATGTGAAAATGAGAATTTCAATTTGTGTAAAAGCCACACTTTCTTCTGAAATAATAAAAAAAAATACCTTTCATAAAATAATTAAATTAATAATATAAATATACTTAATCGGAATGTATAAAAAAAAAATTACCCTTGCATAAAGTTTTTAATGTACGCTGTATAAGAAGAAAGATTTCACATAAGAGTTATATTGTTTCGTATATCTTTTCATTGCCAATAAATAGTCGAGATAAAACTTCCAATTATTTTGATATATGAAAACAAATATAATAATGAAAATATCAAATATTCAATAGCAGAAAGAAATTATCAGATGCAAAATTAAAAAGCATCTCTAACAAGTTTATTAAAATAACATACTCATGAATAAATTCTCGTGAAATGAGATGAGGAATGGAGAGAATGTAATAAACTACTCGGAATTGATAGAAATTGATGAAGAAATTAATATTCAAAAATATGAAAATATATATATATATATTCACATTTATATTAAATAATTACTTAATTAAGAAATGTAATGCATAAAATGTATTGTAGACTTTGAAATTGATGTCAATGCATTAGTGGTGAAGCATTTCAAATAGAACTTTAAATTAAATAGCGCAAAAGATTAAATTTATATATACACAACACTGATAGAGAACATCCAATTATTTATCTATTACATATATTATAATGAATAACTAATTCAAACATTTCATATCGGGTACATATTGCAAAATTTAAAATATAACTTAACACGTGTGATAAATATGTATATTATTATATTTGCAGCAAATAAATAAAAAGAAATTAATAGCATATTGCAATTATAATTTTGGTAATTTTGACATATCAAATATATAATAGAAATCATTACAATTATTTTAAATTATATAGTTTTATTACGTTATTTAAATGTTATTAATATTTGATATATTTCATAATGCTGAAAAGATAATTAGTGCTTGTGTATATAAAACGATGAGAGTAATATAAGTATGTATATGGTTTGCGTCATTTCGCCGATTAATTAAAATGATTAATGAATCGTGTCATAAAGAAAGGAAGAGATGGTTAAATTACGACACAAATAAAGATAACGAGTTAACATCACATATTATGTAAAGTATATAAATTATTATCAACTATAAAAAACTCTAAAAATTATATAGACACAAGAAGATTTACCATTGAACTAATTTAACATATATTTATGGCAAATTATTTTCTTTACTTTATTTGAAATAGTAGAATAGATTGCTCATTAAACACACACACACAGTATTGTTTAAAGAAATATGATAAGTTTATATTTTGATTTTATTATTTTTAATTTTATATTATATATGAACTAAAAAACTGAATATTTTAAAATTTATTTATATAACTCTGCTTGTGTGTGTAATTGTTATATATTTGCTTTTAATCTCTCAAAATCTAATTTAATTAAAAATATATCTTTTCTTTAATAATAACAAAGAGTTTGGAACATTTATTACTTTTTTGATGTGTGTATGTGTGTTATATAATTAAATAGAATGAACAACACACACACAAGTTGTTTTTCTCGAATACATCTTTTATTATTTATATGTAATTAAAATTTTCCATTAAGTAATTAAAAATAATATTAACATTTGTTATAAACAATATTAAAAAAGTTGAAATGCAAGATAATACTGAGATACATTAATTAAAGTTATGAAAAAATAAATCTTTGTTATGTATAATCTAATTTCATAGATTCTATCAAGATAAAGCTTTCTTCATTCAGAGAGAATATAATTATCTACTAATTCTGACAAAAAAGCACACAGTGACGTCAATAATTTTTAATTCATAGAAAATTTTCCTGTAAAACTGAAATATTCCTAGAATTGTTTATTTTTATTTTTTCTATTTTAGTTAATTGCTAAAACTAATTTAAAAACTCATAAAAAACGCTTTTATTTGAGAAAGAGGTAAATCTCTATTGTTTATGTATAATTTTATAAAAATAGAATGTTAACTTTACAAAATGAAATATATTTTTTACTGTATTTTTTATTTTTAGATAAAAGATAGCAACAGAGAGATCATTGTACTTTTCTAAAAAAACTTTAATAATAAATAATTTGTCCATTTTTTCTCATTATATCACTTATTAATAAGATAACCGTATTTGTTAAAAAAATAAACTGTAGACGTTAATGAACTAGTTAACATGCCACACGACATTTATCGTGCGCGAGAAATATCGGGATCACGTACCGCACACCCTGCGACTTGTCGTAGCGCAGGGCGGTCGTAGGAAATAATGGAATGGTACTTGGCGGCGTGAAAGGAGTTACTCAATTGAATCCACGGTATCGGGCGATAAAACGGTACAGCTAATGGAATTACACCGGCGCGCTTGCATGCGTGCGACGCAAATTTATCGCATGCATTATTCATAACTCGGCCCAAGTCAGCCGACGCCGTCAGCGATGGTGTTCGCGCGTCCTACAAGTAAAATGCTGCTCTTCCTTTCGAATACATACATACATAGCTTTTATTTGAGAAAGAGGTAAATCTCTATTGTTTATGTATAATTTTATAAAAATAGAATGTTAACTTTACAAAATGAAATATATTTTTTACTGTATTTTTTATTTTTAGATAAAAGATAGCAACAGAGAGATCATTGTACTTTTCTAAAAAAACTTTAATAATAAATAATTTGTCCATTTTTTCTCATTATATCACTTATTAATAAGATAACCGTATTTGTTAAAAAAATAAACTGTAGACGTTAATGAACTAGTTAACATGCCACACGACATTTATCGTGCGCGAGAAATATCGGGATCACGTACCGCACACCCTGCGACTTGTCGTAGCGCAGGGCGGTCGTAGGAAATAATGGAATGGTACTTGGCGGCGTGAAAGGAGTTACTCAATTGAATCCACGGTATCGGGCGATAAAACGGTACAGCTAATGGAATTACACCGGCGCGCTTGCATGCGTGCGACGCAAATTTATCGCATGCATTATTCATAACTCGGCCCAAGTCAGCCGACGCCGTCAGCGATGGTGTTCGCGCGTCCTACAAGTAAAATGCTGCTCTTCCTTTCGAATACATACATATATATATATATATATATATATATTGATGTATACATATATTGATCTCGCACATGAAGAATATCGCGCGACATATATTGATCATTGGAATATTACATGGACGCATGTTGTAAAAAGTCGCCAAAAGGCCTCCCCGAGCGGGTTGGAATGTCGTCATCATTGTCGTCGTCGTTGTCATCATCGTCGTCGTCGTGCCGTTATATTTCATAGCCTCGCTTCACACCTCGTTTGCGCCATTGTCGTTCTAGACGAACAACTTTCGCAATTTCATTCGGCGCCATGGACTGCGACAAGGACTTGGCGCGCGAACTTGGCCCAGGTAAATTAAACGCTTGTCTCCGCTCGCGATGCCTAGCTCGGCGATCTTCAGCCGCGCTGGAGGACCTCGGAAATTCAAGCAATTACCATCGCTTCGGGTGCAAGATGATAAAAGGCTAGTGTCACTGAGGGAAAAGTAGCGTGAGTCAAAATAGGCCGAAATGGACAGACAAAAGTGCCAGAATATCAAAAGTTTGGCAGGGCGGATATTGAAATCGGTATAATTTCGATGGGTTCGATTTCCGATGTTGTATAGAGATTGACAGAAGTATACCTTATATCACTATCGCGTTTCTACTCCGTCACGAAAAAAAACATAGGAACTATTTTTCGATTTACAGTCTACGTTTAAACTCAACAATAGCACAAGTTTTAGAAATGTAATACCTGATTTGGGACGAATTGGAAAAATATCTGCATATGTATGTGTAATGTATTTTTATTCCTGATTTTCAAATATTTGTTTGTCATCGATATTAATGTCAGTTACGTCAG